CTCATTATAATTTTAAAAAAAGGTCATTTTCATTTTTTTTTCCTGCTTGGTAAATATTTATTTGACATAACCTCATGTTACCAAAAGGCTAATTGTTATATTATGCTTGTGTGCACTAAAATTTATTTTAACGTATTTTGTACTAAAAAGTTGGGTTTGCTGAACAGCTGATATCATGAGACATAAAAAAAATTGTAACTGAACTGCCCAAAAAGGTGCATTTCAATGTGTGCAACTATGCAGAAGTGCCCTGGCAGTGAAAGGGTTAAAGCAAACCTTTTGTTAAAGAAATATGGAGGCTGCCATTGCTACCTTCTCTTTCTGCAAATACTATTTGCCTTGTGGTCATGCATCCTCTTGCTTTAATAATTTGCGTCACTTACCCAGGGCATGCGTACAAATGGCGACTTTGACTGATCTTCTGATTTGTTTCAGGTTAGTGCTTCAGAAAGTAATGAAGTCGTGGGGTCCACATAACAGCCAGGAAACTTGCATTTTTAAGCCACCACCCGTATTTGTCTTGGAAACCAATATTTGTGGCTAAAACGTCTTTAAAATAACCATTTCCTATGACAACTTTTGGTAACTACTTCCATTAGGTCACATAGCAACTTTAATAGGTTCACTTCCCTTATCTAAAGATAGACAGCTGTCTTCACTGCAGCATAAAAGGTCCAAAACGTTGTCTTCCCTGAATGCCATACAACCGTTTGGTGCAACCAGATGTAGTGATGTAGCACACTATAGATGTGTATATGTTAAATACTTAAAGCTTATCTATGGGCAAACAAGAAAAGTAAACTTGCAGTATGGCTACCCCCTCACTGCAAGGGTTAAGTGGTCGTTTTTGTCTAGTGGCTGGAGTAAAGCCTATTTACTTACCTAATCCCCGCTCCCTCTGACCTCCTCCAGGCTGCTAGACTGGTCCTCACAGCCTCTTCTTCCCGGCAGTTCAAGGATCGCTGACATCATTACGTCTAATGCAGGTTCCATAGACCTGCATTAGATGTGAGAACGCCGAAGCACATTTCACCAGCTGGAGCAGAGCGGGAGAAGAGGTGAGCACCGACCGGCATGGGAGTGAGGATCAGGTAAGTAAAGCCCCTAGACAAAAAGGAACACTAACCATTGCTGTGCAGAGGTAGCCCCACTGCAAGGGTACTTCTTATTTGCCTGGAGATGGGCTTTAACCACTTCAAGACCAGGTGTGTTAAAATATGAAATTTACTTTTTGTCAGCTTCTCTAAAAAGATACTCTGAAGAATCAGACCTGTTTTTTTATATTCATTTCAATTACTTTGATCAATCTGTGTTAATGAGAATGTGCTTATATATGCTTGATAATATACATGTTCTGAATGTATCTTTCCTTAGGAAGCACTGGAAGTTCATACAGTAGGAAAGCCTAAGGCTGATATACCATTAGCTCCTCCAGACCCACCAGTGCATGTTGAATTGACAGGTAAAACCAATATTTGACCTAATAATTATCTTTACTGCTGCATGAATATATGATGTATGAAGTGTAGGGATGTTAAGATACCAGCGCCGATACTTGGCATTTTCTTGAACTACCAGGGTTGCAGCTCAGACCTGGCTCTGGTGCTCCACCGCTGTCCTGAAATCATTAGTCTGTATTGTTTTGGAAAAACGGTCACGTGACAATAAACAAAAATGTATCAGTACTTGTATATGTGAGTACTTGGACAAGTATCAGTACTTGGAAAATGGTATCAGTGCATCTTTTATATAAAAGTAAAAAAATTATACATCACAACAGAGATGTACAAATCCCGGGAGCTCCGTGTGCTCCTTACAAATGACAGCTGCCTCCTAACTTTTTTGAATTTTTCTCTAGTCTAGTCTTGGAGCTGGAAAAGTATCTGTACATGTACTCGTACTTGGTTTCTGAACATCCCTAATGAAGTCTTTTTGAAATAAAATCCATAACGAGATATTTGTTCTCCATTGTAGCCAAAGCCCTGATAGCTCTTAGGCACATGTCACATGAGCGATCCTGTGACTGGTGACAACTAGCCAGCGACAGGATCTCTAAGAGACTTCTTTCCTGTTTCCATGGAGTCACTCCCTCACTAGCCAAACTAGCAAGATGTTTCTCCCTTGCTAGAGAGATTCAGATACTTTCTGGGCCAGCAAGGGGTAATGCCTTGGAGGCCAGTGAAAGGCTCACCTGGGCGATTCTGCTGCTGACAGTGTTTCGCCATTAGCAGTGTTGCCCATATGACCAGTTTATGGTACATAACATTGTATTAGGATTTGAGGACCACTAGTGCAACACCGATAAAGTAATGATAAAGGTGTGTGTTGATATTTATTGTTAGTTACATTTATTTGTTTAGCTAAAAATGCATGCCAAAAACAAGTTCTACTTTTTTTCTGAGATTTTTTATTTAACTAGCAGTCGACTGAACACTTTCTTTGCAATGCATCTGTCAGATTGTACTCACAGCACACCTATAGTCTTTGCTTTATAGTCCGTATGTAGATATCGTTGTGCTGAGTCTATCAAGGAAGGCTTTGATGAAGGTTGCATTAATGGGGCTACAGGGAACAGGGATACGTTTTCATGGCTATTCTCGGGCATGGATTTGCTGTTATCTCATTCAGGCCGCAGGTCTGGGCTGCTCAGGATAGTAGCTTCACTACGGGAGACTTTGGCTGCTGTAGAGGAGTTAAAGCAAAAATTACATATGTGACGGGTCACTCATGTCATTCGTGTCAAAACTGCCCCTTATAGTGTAGCTGCAAGACTCTGAATTTTCACTAATGAATGCACCATGTATAATTCACTGTTTACTTCAGAATCAGAATTGTTGTATTAACATCCGTTTTGCATTTCTCTGTTTCCTTTCAGAAGAGCAAAAAAAAATTGTAAATTTGGAGAGACAGCTCCTGGTTCAGCTTAAGGCAATGCGACACAGACAGGTCATTCACCCTGCCCTTCAGCAAGGTATTGATGATGAAGACAGTTTAGTGATTTGGTGTCAGTGTTTAAATCCTGTTTTCTACTCTGCTGCGGTGTCTTTTTCTCTGTTAGGTTCTGACAATGCATGTTTTTCTTTTTTAAATAGTGGGGTTAAGGCTAAACATTGTAGACCATTCAATGAGCATTGATCTGAGGTATCTAGGAGTTGAGCTTCCACTTCCTTTCATCACAAGTGACTCCAGATGGGATAATTGTGCTTTAAGCTCAGAAGGTCAGTGAAATTAATTCATGTAGTAATTTATTATTTCAGTAAAATGCAGTTTGATTCCAATGTAGTAGTATGCACAGTGACTTTGCATGTATTTCAGTAAAGTGCAGTTTGATTCCAATGTAGTATTACGCACAGTAATGTTGCATTAGTATTTCTTTTACTCGGTGCATGTGAATATCTTTTCTGACTGACTGAAAACAATATGTTCTATGTTGAGCTAAGTTGTTCTATAGCTATGAATACTACACTGAGGTACAGTCTACAAATCTGTATATGCAATACAATCCTTTTGAACATAGAACAAGAACGTTCATATTTTTACTGATCATTTTAATTTCAACTTGATTTCTTATATGCTAAAATTTAACTTTACTATCAAATACCTTTTGAACTTGTCAGAAGTACCTTCAGGATACATGTTGAGAAACACTGCAATAAGACTTTGAAAAGTACATCAATACTCCCAAGATTAGTGTTTACCAATGTCTTTTGTGTACTCATTGTTGAAAGCCAATTTTTGCAAACTACCCCCTGGTCTGGTTCTTCCAGTATATTTATTTGTAAGTACCCCCTAAAAGTGTATAAATATGTTCACACAAGTTCATCGAACTATCCTTGGAGTACTTGGCCATAAAATAACGTTTGTTGGTTTGTTTCCTTCAGGCCTTCCATTTGTGTCTAGGACAGGAAAGACAACTGACTTTACAAAGATTAAAGGTTGGCGTGATAAATTCTCTACAAATCCAGGGGTGAAAAGTGAAGGTGAGATTATCACGGTGACGTTAAGATGGGCACCCCCTTTTTTCTTCTGTTACATGATAGTAGTGAGATAAATCATATGCATGCTTCCTGAGGTAAACATAAGCCTAGGGTGACCATGCTCACTCTCTCCATTGTACAGATAGAGCATCGTTGTCACCCTAAGCTGCTTTTTTAAATTGGACTACAAACGCGTCTTCCTCTTTATCTCTATTACATGGGTGGTGGGGGAATTTGTACTTTACAAAGAAAGATGGCATTGTTCAATATACAAGTTCAGTACAAAGGAAGTTACAAGGCAAGGTCAACAGCCTTAAAAGTGAAAACTAATGCAGCCGCCTCATCCAAGGACTGGTAATCTGCAATATATGTTTCATTTGTGTTCTTGGGTTTAGATATTCATAACCATTAAAGGATGGCTGGAAGGAGCCAATTGGCTAATGTGCCAAATTACTAGTTCTTTTTTGTTCTCAGTGTAAGCATGTGTGTCTTGAGTCCTGAACTGGCTGATTATATTAGGTATGAAAATAACGAAATACACTCTATTACTAGAAGTTTTTGGACACCTGACTTTCACATCTATATGACCTTGTTGGACATCCCATTCTAGCACTATAGTTTTTAATATGGAGTTTACCTCTCCTTTGGGGCAATAACCGCCTCCACTCTTCTGGGAAGGCTTTCCACAACATTCTGGAGTTTATGGGAATTGTTGCCCTTTCTGCCTAAAGAGCATTTGGGAGATCAGATAGTGATGAAGAAGACCTGGCTTGCAGTCGGCATTCCAGTTAATCCCAAAGGCATTCAGAAGGATTGAAGTCAGTCCTAAGTTCCTCCTCATCACACTCACTCATTAAATCTTTTCCTCATAGGCCTGGCTTTGTTCACAGGAGCACAGTCCTGCTCCTTGGTGATGAGGGAGCATGGAGCTAATAAGGAAGCCAGGCGGCGAGTCATTACACGCCGCCCGACTTCCTTAATGGGACTTTTGGTATTTGGTACCTAAGAACTGGTATCGGTGCATCCCTACTGAAAACACCTAAAGTTGATAGTTTGGAGGGGTGTCCATATAGTGTAGGTTTTACCTTTTGGCTATATTGTGTATTTGTGTTTTCTCACTTATGATGTACAACTAATGGTTTCCTTAATTCATGCTTCTTGCAGCTGGAAGCTCAGAGACAACTTTAAAGAATCGCTCGGCGTTCTGCAGTGATGAACTTGATGAGTATCTAGAGAATGAAGCAAAGTTGATAGAGGATATCCGAGGAACGTCTCAAAATGAGACCTTTATATCCACAGTTAGCTTCCAATTTCCCACCAAAAGTGCCAGTTATGTCAGGACACTTGACAGCGTGTTGAAGAAGCAAGCTCTTCAAGCATCATCGAATTCTATAAAAATGTCAAAGCCTCCTTCTCCCGAGCCAGTCAAAAAGCGCAAATATACACGCCGCGGCTCAACGTCAAAGAAGAAATTAAAAACAAAGCCCACATCACCTGCGCCAGTAGTAGAGAAACCGGTCAAGTCCCATTCCCCAAAGAAACCAAAAAGTCCAAATACAATAAAACTTACTCCATCACAGTGTGTGAAGAGTCCCACTACATCTCAACCTGGAGAGACACCACCTTTGTCTGAACATGATGTGACAGTCCAGCCTAGTGTTCTGTCACCTGGGAAGGACAGTTCAGGATCAGGATTACACCATACTCCCTTTCAGAGTCCACAGTTTACACACAGGTCTCCTGGACTTTCTAAAGTTCAAATGAAACTTCTGGCACTTGAGGAGACTGCTATATGCCAAGGGAAGCCACGCACTTATGTCACTGAGGAGCGTGCTGAGATTGCCCTTTCTGCTCTTCTTACTATGCAGGTAAGGTAATCTTTTATTTTTACTGGTGGTTTGGAAAACAATTTTCCGTGACATTCAGAGAAGCACGTTTATGTTTCTGGATATTGGGACTTGCGTCACCATTTATGGATGTTCAACATTTCAAGTCCCACGATTGTTGCTCTTCGCATTGATCTCCAATAACTTCCCTGCTACCATTGACAAATCTTTTCTGAATCACAGGAAATTTGCTTTTTATTTGTTTTTTCGCTTACTGTAGAAGTAACCTACCTGGAGGAAAAATGGATGTCAACATGCAGAGATATACATATATACAGGGCTTGAAAAATTTGATAGTGTCTCACCAGTCAGTCAAAAATTTCACCAGTCAGCATGACCGGACTATAGCCTTGCAATTTATGTTAAAAAAGTTTGGGGACAGATAGAGCTTTCTTTTGGAGGTATATAATCACCACGCTGAGTATTTTTTTTTTTTTACTATATAATTTAAAAAGTACCATAAATGTAAAAAAAAAAAAAAAAGTTTCCCTACGTTATGTTTTAAAACATTTATTCTTACCCATATTTTTAGTAAAACATAAAAGTCAGGGTCACGTCGGGCAAATAGACACCAAACATGTCAAGCCTTAAATTACGTGCGTCCGCAAAAAATCGCAAAATACGCCCATAGGTGACGATTAAAACGTTTTTACTGTTCATCATTTTAGTGTTATCAGTGATTAAAGGAGAACTATGGGGTTAGGGATTTTCCCCATAGTTCTCTTTAGGGTAATGGCAGGACGCAAATTAGCGTCCTCCCATCACCCCAAGCTCAGTATACTGGGGACTGAGATGAGATCAAAGGGAGTTTGTGTACTGAACTCCCTTTGATCTCCTGTCACAGCGGATCTCGGGACCGGCAACTGCAGTGACCGCTTCTGATACAAGTGATCGAGCGTCTCTCGAGACGCTCGATCGCTTGACTGTAGCTCCCGGCCGGCCGTGTAATTACAACGGCCGGCCCGGAAGCTGCTCGTCGGGCTCCACTGTCTGCTCGTCACAGACGAGTGGATTTTCGAGCCCAGCATATATATATATTTTAAGTGGAACTGCAATCACTGATTTTTATTTTTTAAATATGTAAGTATTGATAGAAACAACTAGTAAACCTTTTCAGTCGGGGGGACTGAAAAGGTGGCCTCTTGTTCTTGCAGAATTATTTAGGTCCGCTTCATTCAATCCCCCCAACACCATATGCTTCTGTCCAATCTTGGATCTTAGGCCTGCCTGCTTACAGACTCCCATGTATGTACATTATGCTCATGAAATAGCTTGCCAGGGACACATCTATCACAGGATGTTTTCTTAATTGTGATTGCCTACCTCATCCCACTATCAGGAGCTTTTTATTATACTGATACGGAGTCTGGGGACATCTGCCACGTGTGCAGCACAGGGGCTGCCATACAAATGGCAAGGCACAGCTCTCTTTGATCCTTTTATAAAAAAGCAAACTGGAAACTTGATCGTACGATTCTCGGCGAGTGAGTGGCCTGCTGGTTCGACAACTGACGAACGGGCCGGTGTGCGCACGCGCACACTGCCCGTTTGCCGTCCTTGCAAGCCCGCCCCTCATTGCAGTCATCGCAAGTACGATCTGCCTGTCCAAGATGGGCAGATCGTACGTTTTTTTAAGTACTTTACAACCATCGCAAGACTAAGGTCTTGCGATGGTTGTAAAGTGTATGGCCACCTTAACACATGATGTGGCAAAACTCATCATATTAAATGGTGCTTGTTCAGATCTGTGCCTATTGAAAACAATGAAAGCACATGTAAAAGTGCATATCAGTGCACGTTGGGTCATACTGGAACTTACATCGCTGCTGCATAATGTAAATGGGCCCATGTGAAATGTTAACATCCTTTTATCGTTCTGTGTTTAGGTAATAAAATTTTGTTTCAGATTTGTAAATACCTGTATACATGGGGACATACATTTGTACCTCTTATCTTATGGTAGCCATAAACGTAGCAATTTGTGATAGATTTAGTTATTCGTGATTGCAAATAAGAGATTTATTTTAGAGTAAGATAATAAACAATGCAGCACAATATTGTTTGGTGCTTTGCAATCAACTAAAAATATTAATCAGTCATGTCTGGTTTGTGATCTTTATTCAGTATGATCAGTTTAGTGGACCGATCAATTATTTGACCGTATCTATACGTGTGTGGCCACCATAACTGGTTATTTAAACAAGTAGACTATTTAAAGTAATTATTGGTAGCCGAGAACGTTTTGATCTAGGCTGGTGAATAGTGATTTGTTTTTATGTATGGCAGCAAATACTTTCACTCACTTGAGTTAGTTGAAATGGCTACTCCTAGGTGCTGCCATTTATAAACTGTAAACCCTGATATATTTTACACAATAAAACGGGTTGTTTATATGTAATAATCCTCATTATCTTATAAAATATTTAGTGAGACATCAGTGATTGAATGGTGAACATCAGCAAAGAAACTTGTAAAGCAGAATTGAAACTAAAGGCCCTCTGAGTCCTGTGCCCTCACCCCGTAGACCTCTGCCACAAGAAACCAAGGTAGCTCGTACAAAGGCACTTCTCTTCTGAAAGAGTCAGTAAGCATAGGGATATTTAAGTTTTAAGTAGTATTTTACCTTTTTGTGTGTAATATAGCAGAGCCACTACATCAGCGTCCTGTACTGCATTTGAAGTGTCTTAAATGCGATGTGTGATCAAAATGATATTCATGTTCTATTAATATTGTAAAAGTTTTATTCTATTGATGAGTCTGAAAACCTTTGCTGTAAACCCGGCCAACAGAAGATTGAGGACACCAGAGCATTATATGGTGTTGACCTCAGATCGTGCCTGGATTCAGTATTCATGGTCTTGACTGCTGTTCCCAGGGTCACATAATGGAAACCTTGAGAAATACACTTAGACAAAAAAAAAAGGGGGAAAAAAAAATCATTCTGCACTAACTGCTTCCATCTCTCTTTCTGGATATCCACAACTGGGCATGATCAGAAACAGCATGTGTGTCATTTCTCAAATGCATCGTGCATCCTACAGTCTTCCTGTTTTCATTGTCAGGACACCCTAGACAGTTTTTAACTCTGAGTATACCTACTGAAATTCACAATATTAGTCTCTGGAGCCAATGTCTGCTTTTATATACCCTTACATTCACTTTTTTTTTCCCCCCAGGCAGTGAAAGAATAATCATGACTATGCAGTCATAGTCTTGATTTTCTTTAATCCGGTGTTAGCATAAGGCATTTTGGCATAGGGCATCGTGGACCTCCTGCAGACGTAGGAATGTTTCCTGATCCAACCATTAACAGCTGTAACTGGTTAAAATGCTTTGATGTCTTAAGTAATGTTTTGTACAGTTACCCTTGAAATGACTTGACGTCCCCAAAGACGATTCTGGCCGGAACGCACTGGACCGCATTCCATCCGGCTCACTTTGTTTTTGGGCGGCAGGGGCATAGCTGCATGCAGCATTTTTTCTGACCGGACCAGGACGCAGGCATTGATGTGCCACATGTTCAGGTGCGGCCGGAGGACATGACTGCGGTGCCATTGACTTCAATGCAGTGCCACGCCCCCTCCCGCCCCAAAACAAAGTGAGCCAGCCGGAATGCGATTTCAGTGCGTTCCCAGTCAGAATCGAGCCAGAACACACTGGGGCTGGTGTGAACTAGCCCTTAGTTAAATTTGCCTGCCCCTGTCCCCATTCCTTTGAGATGTTTGCTGTATAACCTGCTAGGAGCAATACAGTGGCTGCAGAAATCTCTTAGCCTTGCGTCTGCATTCACAAGACGATCGCAATTCAATTTTATGGAGATGTTGTGCACTGTTGGGATGTGCAAAAGTTGGACTCTCCATGGGGATGAATAAAGATTAGAGCTATCGTTTTATGGTTGCATTTACACCTCTTTGTGAGGTGTGGTATGTGTTACCTGTTGGTCCTTTTTACATGTTGAGTCCACTGATGTAGTGATGTCCACTCATGTAGTTTGGTGTCAAGTTTGCGTATGCGGTGTATGTTCTCTTGGGCAGGCTCAAAGGTCTGCTACGGCCTCTAACAAAGAGTAAAGGGAATTTTGTTACTTGCTATGAAGTCATGCTCTTGTGGTAGATAAATAACTCACTCTTGGTTTTTGTACTTGGATGATTGAATTGTACATTTCATTGTGACTTTTATTTCAACAGGCATTCCTTCATGATACACTTACTTTGCACTCACAGTCTAGGAAGCCGGTATAGGCCAGTATAAGAGGGCTACTGTGACCTCATTCATTTTGTAAAATAACTTTATTGGTAGCATGGAAACCTTTGTTAGTAAATTTCTCAGAGTAAAATGGTCATATGAATTTCTTTTTTTTTTTTTTTTTTTCTTCATTTTAAGGGTTTCTTAAAAAGCAAACCATTACCCAAAACGATCAGCAAGCAGACACTCCCATGCAATAATGAATTTTGCCGCCTTGGTTGTATATGTACAAGCTTGAAACGTGCCAAGAACAAACCTGCTCATTGTCAGCAAGAAGCCTGTATGTTTGGCTGTGACTGTGTAAATAGCAAATTGTGTTTTGAAAAAGATGGACTAAGTATTACATCAACGAGCTTTAAACAGAATGCTGGTGAGGATATGAATTCCTCCACTGAAGATAAGCATGGTGCTACAACACATGGTACACAACCAGCAAAGCACTCGGATCAGACGGACAAGGACAGAAAATCTCACGAAGAGATAGAGAAACCTTGTATATCGGTGCAAGGATTACCAGGAGGCGAGTCAAACAATGAAGGCATTCAAACACCTAGGAGAAATTCAGGGGATTCTGGTGAGTTTTCTGGCATGCTGCATTCATAGAATGAATGAAAATGAAATATACAGTTGATATGATGCTAAATTTAAAGTGCAACTCCAGTCAAATGTATTGTGTTTTGGGTAGAGTGGAGTTAGTTAGCACCACTTTCAGGTTTTTTGTAGTAGCTTTGTTCTTGTTTTTAGAAATTTCCCATTAACACCCTTTCTAAATGACAGCTTGCATGGGAAATGAGAACAAGTTTACCCATTTGGAATATAGTCCACAATACAAATGTCAGTCTCTTTTTTTTCTGTAACTTCTTTGTTCAAATGTATTTTAACACAAGTGCAACATTACACAGCACTGAGCCATTCATCATGAGAGATAGATATGTACATAAGTCATTGAAAGCAGGACTATGTATACATACATTGGTAAGCCCTGATTCACAAGGGTAACAGCCGGCCTGTACAGATCCGTGCTACGTGCACGGCTGTATTGGGCAGCTCCCGGGAAGGACAGGTGCTGCGTGTGATTTGTATGCAGCAGCCTATTCTTCTCTATGGGAGAACGCGGCCGTACGCCGCCTTGCGCTCATGCGGCCTGCACGTCCGCGCGGGTGTCTGTACTTGTACGCTGACAGGATGGATCTTGTCTGCGTCCGAGCAGGGACACCTGCACCTGGTGCTGATATTCCTTTGTGATTGAAAGAGTTTCTAACCCTTGTTAAAAACCCTGTGCAAAACAATGACATCAGTTTTACTTAAAGTACTATGTTCTCTTAGTCTAACTTGTACATGTTTTTTATGCATTTTAGCTGGCAGCTGTTCCAAACGCAGGTCCCTAAAAGTTGTTCCCATTTGGGATAGAGGGGATGTGGAAAACGATTCAGAACCTGTTTCTGTTCTTGAAAAAGGTGAAGTAATTGAAGGTAAAATCCCATTCCAAAGAAGACAATCAGAGAGGGTCAAGTCCTCTGCAAGTAAATCCTCTCAGCTCTACACTCCTAAACCTGCAGTAAGTAGTCCGCGTGAAGAACTAGTTTTGTAAGAATACTTTAAAGGAAGATATCAAGATTTTTTGCCAATTTTCTTTTACAAATGATTTATTAAATTTGAACAAGGTACCAAAATAACAGGAACAATCTCCCACTATACAAGTCCTGCTCATCCAGTAGGAAAATATAAACGTGCATAACATAGAGAAATCAAATTAATTATCACAGCTGCATGAAAGATTTGTCCATACACAACCGATAAGCCAAGATGTCTCTCCCCTGCCTAAGGACAAAATGGTAGGTGAATGGAGTATGAACCCACAAAAAAAAGGGGGGGGGGTTGCTAATAAGACTTTGCAAGGTAGCCTGCAAAAAAACAGAGCAGTGCGCAGTGGGACAATGAAGAATATTAAGCAACTGGGGTAGCAAAAAATAGTTCTAAAAAAATACAACAACAAAAAAGGTGGGGAAGGAGAATAAAGAGAAGGTAAGAGAGAGAAAGGCGTAAAAGAAAAAAGGCAAAAAGAGAAGAAACAATCTCACTTCCAGGAGGGGGCCAGGACTATTTTTTTGCCAATATTAGCAAAATGTTTAAAGTTTTTTTTTTTATAAATGTTTAATATTTATAAATAAAAAATAACACCTGATACATCCATGGCACAGAGTTTGTAAAGCATGCAAGGATTTGTAATGGGAAAGCCCAGCATTGCCCATACACTTGCTAGCTGCCTCTGTGTCATTTCTCTGCTATGACAATGGGGAAGTCGTTTCTTCCAATAACTTGGAAGATTGTCATGATGGACACCATTCTTGTGGGATGGGGCAGTATCTTGGATCATCTGTCTGTGCAGGGTTGTTGGTCTTCGTAGGAATCCAAACTTCTGATGTCCTGCAGTTGCGATCTGCTTGGCGTTGCTTAACTGGACCCGTTTTCTGACTGGTTGCCTGGCTCAAGTCAGACAATGCCATGGTGGTCAATCACCAGGAGTGTGTTGATGGCAAAGGGGGTTCATTCATTCGATCTTGGATGGGGCGTAACTTCAGCTTCCAGCGGTCTACATTCCAGGAGTCAACAACTGGCAGACTGACTTTCTCAACAGACGTCTGGATCCGGGAGAGTGGTCTCTTCATCCGTAGGTGTTTCAACAACTTTGTAAGCGCTGGGGAACACACGATATGGATCCTCTGGCTTCTCGTCATAACAAGGTGTACAGATTTGTGTCCAGAGCAAGGGATTCAACAGCGGATGCCTTGCATCTTCATGGGGTCAGCACACCCTCCTGTAGGCCTTTCCTCCACTGGCACTGAAGGAATTCCAGTCATTCTCATTGCCTCGCAGGAAGTGGTATGCTGATCTGGTTCATCTGTTGGCAGACGGTCCATGATGTCTTCCAAACCGGACAGATCTGTTATCTCAGGGGCGAATCTTCCACCCTGATTCTCGGTCGCTGGGTTTTAATGACCTGGCTGTTGAAACACCGGTGTAAAAAGAGCATGAATGAAATGATATTCCTAAATTTTACTTGAAACCCTTATTTGTTATCTCAGCTACATTTTTCAGGTTAATATTTTGTTTTTTTACACACATTCTTCTCCCAGTAGAATAGCTGCAGCATAAAAAAAACATTCAAGCTCCTCCATATTACTAATGGGGTGCATGGGCCTTGTTCTTCCCATATCATTAAGTGTCATTTATGTTCTGAAGGTGGTGTCATCCTTTTTGTTTTGAAATAGGCTGTGAAATTCCTTTTTTAAAGTAGGATAAATTTAAACAAAATTACATTTCTACTACAAGAACATCTAATGTTTTTTTATTTTACTGTTATTGTTGTCACTTTATGGCTATTAAATATCATTGTAACTTTACAGGTTCTTCCTGACGATTCGGATCTTGAAGATTTACATCACCATGATAGTATGACATGTGCACGAGTAAGGGTCTACAAACCTAAGTCAACGCAAGAGAAGGCCAAAAAGGACCATGGTGCTTGTGCTGAGACTCCTGGAAAGGTATCTTTCTTTGTCCCCTCCCAGCTGTGCTTGTTAAAGTGAATATTACAATTTGCCATGTGTCTAAGCAACACAAAAGAAGTATGACATTGTAGTAACCATGAAGTAAACATGTAGTAAACCAAATAAAGTGATAAAGATCTAGAATAAAAATTGGTTACTAGGGTCCATATTTGCTTTTCTCGGCATCTTTAGGAATGACTGACCGTAGTTTTGTCTCTGCCTCACATAATTCTGTCTGCATTAGCTAAAGTTATCAAATTCATTCTGCTGGTCATGTTACAACAGCAGTACAGATGGAGTGTCAATGCCAGCTAGCATCCGTCAGAGTCTGTATGAAGTAGTGGAAAGCAGGTTCCTAAATAACCATATTTTCTGATATAACATGCTCAAACTAAAACTTGTTTACCTTTATACAAGAGACAAAAAAAGTTTCTGGGAAATATTTTTTTAGGGATGGTATAAATCCTAGGGATGCACCAAAACATTTTGACCGAAAATGGTACTTTGGGCAAAATGCCGACAGTACCCTTTTTAGGAGGGGGGGGGCTGAAATGTGGAGCATGTCTAGTTTCTCTCCTCTCCGCTGGGCACTGCTCCTGTGTCCCCTCTGACAGAGTGCAGCGCTCAGCAGAGAGGAGAAAACTGTCCGGAGGCCGATCAGGGTGGGGAGGAGAGCGTGTCACAGGAGGACGAGCTCTCCTCCCGCACAGCCTCGTGACAAGCCGATCAGGATAGAGAGCGGTGCGAGGAGAAAGACAGGTGTCACAGGAGGCCAAGCCGGCAATATTGGGAGAAGTCAGTGGTGTCACAGAAGACGGAGCTCTCCTCCCCACACCGCCCGCTCAGCCTCCTGTGACAGCGAGTCAATCAGGATGGAGAGCGGGTTACAAGCATTCAGAGATCAGCTGATATCTGAGTGTTTGTAAATAATTAAGGAGATGGTATGCTTACTGTGTCCGCAATTATACATGAGAAGGAAGTGCTCTACATAACTTCCTGTTCATTCATGACTGTAGACATAGTAATTCATACTATCTCCCCAGGTTATGAATGGACAGGTGCACTCAGTATAGAGCTTTCCTGTTCATTTAAAACATGGGTTGCAGAATAACAGATTGAGGACTCCACTTTTCTTTAAGTGACACATTTTCCACGTTATTTGCACCTTTTATTTATCAATGCAGTCTAAGCCTTGATAATGTAATTTTCATTAGACATGTTGGGGAATTTATCATAGCAATTGCGAGTGTTTGAACTTGCACAGAATATATTTGCACCAGATTTATCAAGCTAGTGTAATGCTGTTGATAAATGAGGTTTAATCGACTCCAGGCAAAAAGCTTAACTGTCACATCTTGAAGTGGTCACGGGGACTTCTTAAGTTGTGATTGTTTTCTTAGGTGATGCTCCAGTTTCATACAGCCTCGGAACAAGTGCAGATGAAAACAGGTGCAAAAAACATGCAGCTGAAAAAGTAGTGCAAGCTCAGAAGAAAACAGGTGCAAAAAACATGTGCAGTTGGAAAAGTAGTGCAAGCTTTGGGCAAAGCACGTGCAGTTGGAAAAGGAGTGCAAGCTCATGTGAAAACAGGGGCACATGTTAAAAAAAAAAAAATATATATATATATATATATATATATATATTTTAAAAAGGTTAGAAAAAATAATATTTTTGCTTTCGGCCTTACAAACTTTATATTTTCAATGTCTGCAGTTTCCATGCTTTGACCAGTCTTCCAGCAGTGCTAAATCATGTTTAATGTTACAAACACCTCCTGCAATGTCAACCTCATTGCACACTGTTCCACTTCCACGAATGTTGGATGCCTGTGTCCCCTATCCTGTGCTGTGGTTCCTCTTTTGCCATGGTTTCTTCCACTAATCCCTACATAGGGGCTAGCAGTAGGAACCACAGTATGAAGCAGAGACCCAGGATTTCTTCCAGAAGTGTGTCAGATGTGAAGAGTCCATAACTCTGCAGGAGAGCCCAGATCATAGAAACAGGTGGTGGGACAGATGAGTATAAACCCTCTTTTACAGGTTCTGTTATTTGTCATTTCTTAAACCTAGTGAAAGGGTCACTTTTTAATTTGTCTTTCTTTAACTAGTTTGAATTTGCAATACACTTTTAAACATGTTGGTTTTTTTTCAGGAAAATAGCCATAAACCAAGCAAATACAGAGAACGGGAAAAGGAAAACGCAGGAAACAGCGGTAGGGAAACATACTCTGTGTGTTTTGTATAAAAAAAGTGTGTGTTTTGTTTTTTGTTTTTTTATTATTGAAATTTTTTTTTTTGGCAGAGGTTTCTGAAAAAAGGCACAAGAAAACAGACAGCAGCAACCCCAACAAGCTATTTAATATCATCTCAGACTGCAGCTGGGAGCAGGATCCTAAAAAGATCCTGAATATTGTGTCACAGCATGTTGATAACAAGGAACCACAGTCCTTTCGAGTAGGCGGCTTTAATATTGAACTGACTTCAGAGAATAAAGGTGGAGGTGCATCCAAATCATCTGCCACTTCTCATGTGAAGATCACAATGGCTCCAGACCAGAACACAGATCAGGTCACGACAAAGCCATCTCCTGTAAAGGAGAACATGGAGAGCATAAAACCCCCTGAGCAAATACCCTCAGAGACCAGAGCTGAGAAAGATGCAAAATCTCATGGAGGTAAAGGTCTTCCATTCTACACCAAGGTCATTCCAGCTGGAAAGTTGGTTGCTCAATTAAAAAATTCCACCCTCAACCAGTCGGAGCTCATTCAGGTAAGAAAAGATTTAAGTGCATACCCATATACATATAATATACCATTTCGATGATCTGGTTTGTGGGCTTAAAGTGCATTTTTACTGTTGTAGTTAAATTTTGAGAAAACCCATCTATATGTTCGTTGTGTATCTATTCACACAGTATAGCGAAAAATTATTTTTGAAAACATAATTCTTACCTTTTTTAGCTGTTTTGTTGCAGCAAAGTAACAGCAATTGTAACTGCAAGAAGCATTTTTAAATCTTTTTTTTTTTTTTTTTTTAGCTTTTGCTTTGTGAATGGAAACATGTAACAAATATAAAATAGGTGTTATCCCAACTTGGCTGCAAAAGTGAAAATATACTTGAATTATCAACTTGTTTTTTAAAGGACCTTTCCCTAACAAAATCTATCCACCAGCCTTTCCAGAGCTTTCAGCCTACTTTAAAAAAACAAAACTAAACGCTTCCATTTGCACCACTAGTGCTTTTATTCTCTCGGATGGATTTACCGCCACATTTGCAGCAGGTGGGTGGAGCTGGGAACTAAGGCAGAGAGAAATTATGATTCAACCCGTCAACATTTACCTAAACCAGTTTTAGGGACTCCACCTATTCTATAAATTTATGTTAAAAAAATTCCATCTACCGTTGCCCAAGTATCTCATCTGGTGGAAATCATTGTAGCTGTAGCTCTAGAAAGCCTAAGCAGTACCCTGGTATAGAGAATATCTAGAAAGCCTAAGCAGTACCCTGGTATAGAGAATATCTAGAAAGCCTAAGCAGTACCCTGGTATAGAGAATATCTAGAAAGCCTAAGCAGTACCCTGGTATAGGGAATATCTAGAAAGCCTAAGCAGTACCCTGGCATAGGGAATATCTAGAAAGCCTAAGCAGTACCCTGGCATAGGGAATATCTAGAAAGCCTAAGCAGTACCCTGGCATAGGGAATATCTAGAAAGCCTAAGCAGTACATACCAGTGTGCTTCCTGGTATGTGAGTGTGCCTTGTTGTATAAATGACGTGTAAAGCCACATTCACACTAGGGTGCGATTTAGGTGCCACCATATGCGTTTTAAAATGGTTTTCTGCATCTAATGATTTGCAATGGATCCATTCACAATTTGCATTTAGATGCATTCAGTTTACAATAATTTACAACCATTTTAGCGTCCAAACACACTAAACGCAAGATGCGTTTGCTGAAATCTCATTGGTTACTTAAATGGACTGTTTCAATGGAAAAAGGACAGATGCCTCTAGAAGCATATGCGTGTAAACGCGTATCATGTTGAGCATATAGAAGCATACACAAAGCATCTAGTCTTGACAGATTCTGACAATTTACATGGCATACGTTCACATCAGTCCCTGCCCTCATGGAGCTTACAATCTAAGGTCCCTATCTCGCATACATACATACATACATACATACATACATAAATACATACAAGGGCCAATTTAGGCAGGAGCCAATTAACCTTACACTCTTTGGAGTGTGGGAGAAAGTGTGGAGTACCCGGAGGAAACCCACGCAAGCACAGGAAGAACATGCAAACTCCTTGCAGATAGTGTCCCAGCCGGGATTCGGACCAGGAACCCCCAGTGCCGCAAGGCTCAAGCGCTAACCACTATGATTAGGACTTTGCCTGCTGCTTGCTTTTTTGGGCACGTCTTTCCCAGTTCTGGTCCTGTTTAAGTACTGTATGTGGTACTTGTATCCTCTAGAGCAGCGTTTTTCAACCACTGTGCCGCGGCACACTAGTGTGCCGCGGCACTAGTGTGCCGTGAGATATTGTCTGGTGTGCCGCGGCTTTGGCTCACAAATAGACCAATCATACCGGTGCGAGAGCAGTGGACGCGGGTCGGCAATGGAGCCGCGACGAGAGCTGGGAGCGTGGAGCAGCCGCGATGACATAGGTGGGGCCGTGGAGCGGCGGTGACCGGGTATAGAGCGGTGATGCAGCCGCGTGACAGAGCAGGGGGGCGTGGAGTAGTGACGGCGTGGAGAAAAGATGAAGCCGTGACAGAGCCGGAGGGGTGGAGCGATGAAAGGTTCTGTCACGTCTCCAGCTCGGGGGGAGGAGCCGGTGACGTGACAGGAGCTCAGAGCCGGAGCATTGATAGAGGCAATTCTGCCAGCATCCCTCAGAGGACCCCCCTTTCTGCAGGTCTTGTCACGCTCCTAGCAACTGGGAAGGTGAGGGGGTTCTTTTCCATGACACACCAGCAGTGTGCACTTGACTAGTGTAAAGAAAAAGAAAAAAAGTGGGGCTTTAATGGTGCCAAAAGACAATTCTGAATAAAAATGTCTTTTTTTATTTGAGATATGTTATACACTTTACACTTTCAACCCAGGGGTGTGGTGCTTAAATACTTAGGCCTTGGCCAGCACTTAAATGTATGAAGAGTGTGCACTAAAGTTTAATTTTTTTAACATTTTCTAATGGTGGTGTGCCTCGTGATTTTTTTCATGAAAAAAGTATGCCTTTGCACAAAAAAGGTTGAAAAACACTGCTCTAGAGGTGCCTAGTATACATTTGTAAGCTTGTTCTCACAATTTGATATAGTGAAAGGTGTACTTTAATACACCTGCAAACAGACTAGTCAATACCTGTTGATCATTCTAAATTTTACAAGGTACCTCTTGTTGGTGCTGTATAATAAAACCATGTTTAATGTTTTAAAGGTTAATGGAAAAAAATTCCCACAGGCAAAATTGCTGTTGGGTCAGATGGGAGCACTTCATCCAGCAAATCGAATTGCAGCTTATATAACACACAGACTACGGCCTAGTCTGCTTTATTTGTCTAAAGCTAAAAAAGACCGTGCCAAATTAAATGTTCATAATGCTGGTCAAGAATCTTCTACAGCGAATGAAAATGTGGAAATCGCTTCAGATGAAGTGAAAACTGCAGTTGCTTTACCTCAGAGTGAGACGGGTATGTATAAAATATGGAATTAGCACATCTTTTCATTTTTGTAATTGAATAGTCCGGTTGTGTAATCATGTAGGCCCTTCCTTCCTTTAGAACAGTAAAGCAGAACTCTGGGCAGAATTTGTATTAACATTGGCAGTGGGCTACCGCTGGACTGCAAACGTTAACTACTGAGTTTTGTCTAGATCTAAAAAAAAGTTATACTCGCCTGATTTTCTGAGCCGGCTTGCTGTTAGAGCGGTCCCTAGAGCCTCTCTTCCCCCCTCCGCTGCAGTGGTCTAAGGTATAGACGTGAGGACGCTGAGGAACATTCTAATGCTGCAGCTCAGGAGAAGACAGGCTTCAGTAAACAGAGGCAGCCACCTTGACAGTTCGGGTGAGTATAACCTTTTTTTTTTTTTTTAGCACCTAGACAAAAACAAGCACTTAACCCTTGCAGTGCAGCGGTAGCCCCTCCAAGGGTAGGAACACTTTTGCCTGCAGTTCTTCTCTTAGACCAATGTATAATCTTTTTGTATGTATTTTCTTTCTTGTATAGTTTCCACAACAGCAGGTGGAGCTTTAGATTTCTTTCCTCTATCTCCTTGGCTCTTTTGTTGTTAAAGGCCTGTCTACAGAGCGGCGTGTAATGACTCGCCACCTGGCTTCCCTATTTGGCAGGGAAGCCGTCTCCACGCTCCCTCGTCATCAGGTGACGAAGTATGGAGCTGCCTTTCTCGCCAATCAGGAAGCCAGGCGTCATGTAATGACTCTTTGCCCGGCTTCCTAACTCGTTTAGAAGCTGGCCAATCAGGAAGCTGGGCAACTAGTCATTACACGGCGCCCAGCTTCCTGATTGGCCAGTAAGCTGGCTCCATGCTCCCTTGCCACCAGGTAACGAGGGAGCATGAAGCCGGCTTTCTGGCCAATCAAAAGCCGGAGGGCGGGTAATGACTCCTGGCAGGAATTACTTCCTGATCTGTAAGATGCCGAGAATGGTGACTGGATAATGTAGTTCCTGTGCATATGTGTAGGGGTTTAATCACTGGCGAAGCAAAAACCTGGAACATGCTGGACATGGAAGAAGAAAGGGGGGACTGGGGGGGAGGGGTGCAAAGATGGGGACGTAAGCCTTGGATTACTGGAGAGCAGACCCAGAGGTAAGTGTGCCATAATGTGTATGTATACTCTGCATACTTAACACATTATGGTAAATGCTGCCATGACCTCCCCACACCTAAAGTTCCACTCTTAAGATTAATGCTTTCCCAGTCCTTTTAGAAGAACCTTAGACTGTCGCTGTTATGCTGCTGTCTTAAGCCATTTATTACTTTGGAGGTGCTAATCAACAGATGTTCTACTTTGCAGTTTTACCATCCACACCCAGTGGTGTCTGCACTGACTTTGTCATGGGTGAAGGTGGAAGTCAGGAAAAGGAAAGTTCTGAAGTCCTATCACCTGAACCCACAGCTGTGGAGTTGCCAAAGATGCATACCCAGCCTACTCCACCAGTACTTGTATCTACTCCAGTATCATCAAGCACTGCAGTTACAGTTGTCTCATCTTCTGTGAACATGATATCAACCACTCCGGCATTGTCATCTGGTGATGTTTCACCCACTAAAAACCAAGCTGCCTCTTTACCTACACCCCACATAGATGCAACTAAACTAGTAGAAAAAGACTCTTCCATCCCTGTGACTGCAGCATTATCAAATGACACCACCAACACGGTTATTTTACCTTTGGGTCTTTCTCCTGAGTGTGTGTCTATCCCACCACCAGCTTTAATCAGAGCTCCTTGCCCTCCTGTGACTTCTTCATGTGTCAGTCCGTCAGATTCTCCAGGTACTAATAAAAGTCTTGCTGCTTCAGTGGCATCAAGTTTGGTCGCTTCAGCCAATGTGCCAACCATTGGACTGGTTAGCTCCCCAACCGGACGACCTACGGTGATGTTAAGAACAGGTAGGATATTTGTATAGTTATGTGAGAGTTGTGTATAACTGGACTCGGATTCCAGTGTTGTAAATAGTCATTTCAGTGCTAAAACTACCAAATATAAAGAAAAGCTGTTACATTTAGATCATTTTGTAAAGTACCAATATGGTTACAGATCAGAATTAAAGGTGTTTAAAATGTTTTGGATTATTTTAAATGTAAACCCCTCTCCACCTCTGAACATTCACATCCCCCCTCCCTACACCCTTCTAACTAATTGCTAGATAACAAAAAAAATCTAAAAGCCTAGATTTCTTACCTGAATTTGGATTGCTGTCATGACAGGTTGTGTCTGAAGTCTCCTTCCTTCTAAACTTCAGTGTGGGAGGGTCTCTCTTTGAGTGTCCACTTCTCTTCCTGATGACATGGTTGGGCCTTTCAGCAGGGTCCTCACAGAGTAGGGCAGTTTGAGGGTAAATGCAAAACTTGAAGTTGTCGCTGGATAAGAGGGAACATTTTCCAATGGAGTCACTTGTTCTGGGGACAACTCTAAGTGGGGATTTCCCTTATTTTGGAGACATTTTCTCTTGCTTCCTGTCATGTCTATGGTAAAAGAATTGAAGGCAATTCTCCATTGTGCCATCTATGGTACAAAGTCTGAAGTTTCAGTCATTCTCTTTTCTCTAGCCAAAAAAGTTTTGTCTGTAGTTGTACTTGTACACTTTTTGTGTTAGAAAAGTAGGAAATGCAGACTTAACATGGTCAGTTTTTGTTGGCACAGAAACAGTAAACTGAATGTACTTCACGTGAATGTTTGTAGGCATTTCTGATTAACTGAAGCAACCTGGCTCCTGAAAATTCTCCAAACCCCGTTTAGTAACATATTTATTCACATGCCACCTGTATTTTATAGCCTTTTCTGTTTATGTATGATTTTCCTAAACCTAATAAAAATTTAATTCTTTGTGACCTCTCTCCCATTTTTTTTTTTGTAAATGTTTTTCTGTTTTTAATTTCAGTTACCTCACCTTCTGTATCAACACAAAGGATTACCTTGACCTCAGGACTTGATAAACGATCAGGCACTCGACTTCTCCTCATACCAGTGTCCAATGGCTCTGCTCCTGTTCGCCCAGTACAGTGCGTGCAGACAAGTCCTGGCAAGAAAGTCGTCTTACAGCCTATTAAGGGTCCTAATGGAGTTAACTTATTCAGGCACCCAAATGGGCAGATTATCCAGCTTGTGCCATTACAACAACTTGAAGCTGCTAACGGTCAACAAAGTCAGCGTATTGTTATCCGCAGCCCAGGTAAAAGAAATATAAATAATTCACTGTGATCAAATGTTTTTTTTCTGTTGCTCAAATGAAGCTGTAGAACTGCAGTGCTCTTTTTGCTGATTTATCTACGCTAAGATAAAAACAACTTCCTTTTTCATCCATCGAGGGACACACAAAGGAGAACTATGGGGTCAGAGAATTACACTATTGATTGGGAAATGAGCAAAAACATACTGCCGTTTCGCTCACTTCCCGATCATCTCCCTGTAGAGAGCGATGACTGTCAGTCATGCTCCCCACAGGGATTCCCCTCTCCGATCCTCCAGCACTGACTGGAGGGACAGATAGGGCTGCGGGCACAGTATTGTCAGGATCCGTCAATTTAGCACTCTCGCTAAATGAGTTTTGAGTCAAGGGAGGACACAGTCTCTCCTCGCCGCCGGGTTGTCCCGGAATTTTTGTTAATAGCTGTCATCAGCCGCTGATGACTGCTATTATTTTACAGGGGAGAGTCGGGAGAAACCTTATGGTATAAGCTTTAGCGACCATGAACTGATAGCAGAAGGGTAAAAGTCACCGATGTATGGCATACTGACGTGGCCAGCTGCAAGCAGTTGTGTACTGCCGTATGCCATAGGTCGGTGGCAGCGGAAGGGTTAATGTGGTTGTGCTCAGACTTTTTGTCAGATGGTGCCTCACTTGTGTCAATTTTCTATTTGCATGGTGACCTGATGAATGTAGTAATTGTACTAAAATGCCTGGTCTGTTGTCGTAAGTGCGCTTCAGAATATTTGAATCTTTCAAAGTTGACCAAATATCCTTTTTTTTTTTTTTCTTCACCCTAAGGTTCTGCATTGAGTATTCAACTACCTCTTAAAACCAAGACTGATGCTGCAATTCCTGCTTTAGCTACCCCTGGGTCATTATCTATTCCTCCTGCCCCTGCTCTACAAACTGTCTCTCTTTCTAAGATCAGCCCAGTTAAATCTGGGGTTACAGTAATTCCAACAAGTCCATCTCAAATTGCTACTCTAAGAATAAGAACACCGCCTAGGGCTAGCAGTGAAGTATCTCCATCTACCCCCAAAGTTGTGGCATATGCTGGTAGTGGTTGTGGAGTCATTACATCTGCTGGTGTTCCCCTTCAGTCAGGAGGTCTACCAGTACTAACGTACTCAACGACTACTGCCCTGAGCTCCAGCCCACAGGATTCTGCTGCTAAACCCAAAGTGATATTAATGTCTGGTAAACCTGCAGTTATGATAGATGCCAATAATTTGACAAATTTTCCATTTTTGAAATCTGCAATGATTATTTCATCGAGTGAGGACAATGTAGACCGTGATAATGGTAAGGAATGCAAAGGATTATCCAACTTGGAAACCCATAACACTGTGGAGAAGCGAAATGGTCTTAAAGAATCTGTTGCATCTGCAGAGCAGGAGGTTTTCACTCCGTCCATAGAAAAAATTGGGGAAGTTGAAAAGAAAACGGCAATCCCATCCAGGGTATTGGTTAATCTAAACGAGTCTGAAAAAACAGATATTTCAAGTTGGACTTTGTTACAAGGTACTAATAACCAGGATTCATCAAATTCTTCACAGAAAAGCTGTGATATTTCCACAGATATTGAAGCTGGGCATCCCTTACACACCACCACTGTGAATCCTGCAGCTGAAAGTGACCAGAATGATGAAAATCCAATGGCTGACAGTGACCAGGATCCTAAAAATCCAACAGCTAAAAATGACCTGTATCTGAAAAATGCTGAAAGTGCCCAAGATGCTGAAAATTCACTGGCCCAAAGTGGACAGCATCTTGGAAATTCAGTGACGGAAAGTGACCGGGATCCTGAAAATCCTGCATCCGAAATTGACAGGGATGCTGAAAATCAGGTCGCTGAAAGTGACCAGGATCCTGAAAATCCAGCTGCTAAAGGCAACTGTATTTCTTTGGAACAAGACCGTGCACGCACTGAAGAATCAGCATGTAGTACTGCACAGGTACAGACAGTAACAGATTCAGAGGGTAAACCACAAAGTCCACTGAATAAATCTGAGAAGAAGGAAGGAGAAAAAGGCAGGAGAGGTCATCTTCTTCTCACTGATTTTACAACAATGAACAAGCAAGATGAAAACCTTCCCTCGGATCCTGGTTACACTAGTAGCACACGTGAAAGTGAACAAAATTCTGAGGATGAGGATGAAGTAAGTACTTTTATTTATTTACTTTACAAAAGCATTCCTTTTATAACCATATGAAGCGTAAATTAGAATTTTGTGGTATGTGCTACTACTTTTTATTAGCTGAAATACAGTGTATGCCGTAGCAAATCCCAAATCATCTAAAGGCAAGCCACAGAACAGTGGGTCTCAAAGTTCTTGTATCACAAACTCTTCTTAAAGGGTCACTCCATTCCAGCGTGATATTTTGTGTTATAGGAGTATGGCAGAGGGAGCCAGCTCCTGGCTTATGTCTTGTATAGTACCACAGCGAGATCTCCTTACATAATTCCCAACTGTGTTTGTCCACCTGTGCATTTTGGGTGTAACCGCCACTTCTGTGTGTTCATCTCCACCTGTTCTCCAAAATATTAAATAATTCCATCATGAAAGTGTTCATGGGCACAGCAGTGCAGTCTTCTGAGCTATAAGCAGATAGGTAAAGCCCCAGGAAATGGTAAAGAGCCACAGACGACATAACTGACCAGTATCTACCGTAACATGACATACCCTGACCCTTTAAAGTTAGTGAAGAAGATGCGGGTCTTTGGGTTTTTTTGTAGCGGTATGTGTTCCAGTGTGCATTGTGGGACCAGTTATTAGTCTGCAGGACCTGTTTAGCCATTTTGACTAAACTGTTAACAGCAGATGCCTATGTTTAATCATTCCTATGATTGTCAATAGAAACTGTTTCCTGACTTCTTAAGCATGCCCTGTGGCCTCCTAGATTGGAATGACTTGCTCCTGTATTCTACGTTTATTGAGTATATTGCAAATATTGAGATGGCAATAGCAGAGCATCCTTTGGAAGCAGGACCTTGACATCATGTCAATTTAGTGCAGCCCTGTAACATTTCATGCTTCCAATCTCCGTAAGTCTGCATGCTGCCTGTCTGTGTGAACTTGGAGTAATTGCCCCCTGTGCTGTCAGTTCCAACTCAAGTGACTTGGTGCCGAGATACTAGTGTCAGAACATAACGTACCATAGAAATGGTAGTGTTACATCAGTAATGCATGTTTTTTTTTACTTTTAGAGTGAAGCTGAGGAGTCGGTGGACATTGAAACAGTGGAAGAACTTTCTAAGAATTACCTTGCTCAACTTAAAGCAAAGGCTACTACTAACACGTCACACAATGACAAGTAAGGGATTGCCTACATTTTGAACTGCTGAAACTCACTGGGGGGAATTTATCAAAACGAGCAGGCAAAATCTGGAGCATATTTGCACTGCAGCCAATCGGCTTCTCTGTCTCATTTTCAAATCTTACCTGAGCAAACTGAAGAGGGATGCTGATAGGTTGCCATGTCTTAACTATGTTGCCGTCCACGGCTTTTTTTCCCTTTCCCTTTTTTTTAAACAAATTTAATTTTTTTGCACACATTTCAAAACGCACAAGCTTGAAGATTACTTAAAACCCCCAAAACATTACATATTTTCTGAAAGCAGAGACCCTGTAGAATAAATTGGTGCACTCTAACACAATATAATACTCAGTTCTTTGGTAAAATATAAAAGATGAGGTTGCATTGACTAGGTAGATACCAAGCATATGAAACTTTAAAGTTACGCACGTGAAAAGGGGGGCATTGTGGTCCCCAAACTTTACCCCAAGTGATGCTTTAAAAGTCTTTACAGCTCATCAATCCAGCAACTTTTGGTAGCCTGTAAAAATGACCCGGCATCTTTACATACATTAAAATCGCTTCTCCTGAAAAGCAGACTAGCCATTTCTTATGTTAACAAGCCTCTGACTGTCCCTGTAGAGGGTTTTTAACAACCCTCTGGAATAGAGGCTGGAAGCCTTTTCTAAATCTTTATTCTCCCTTGCAGACCCTGCCCTGCAACCTGCCATTGCAGTCATGTCCTTCTACCAGACCTTTAGGGGTCTGGTTCAGGGACATGTCTTGGGATCCTGGATCTGTTCTAACAACTACTACTTGAACAACTAATGCTCATGCCTTTGGCCCTACTCTACTTTGTTTACAGGCTAGTAAATCTTATACACCAAATATCAGGAATTCTTGAGAACTGTACTTCCTTTTCCTATTTGTACTTATTCTACTACAGCCATTAGTGATTCTTGGGCCTTCCTTAATCATGCTTCAGTTACGTGAATTTGTAGCAGCATGGTCTTCTGTTCACACTTTTGCCTCCTGAAGCTAGTTTTGGCTGAAAAGTTCTTCAGTATTTGACAGTTCTTTGTTAGTTGAGCTGTTTCTTTTAGTTGTTGTGGTGCCTGCCCCTCTGTTCAGACTGCTTTCGAACATCCCTACGTCTCAGAATTCTTCAGAGTTGTGTCCCTCAATGGACGTTTGGGGAAAATAGGATGTTGTGCTTACTGTAAAATCCTTTTTTTAGGTTTGGATAAAATAGTAAGGGGTTAGAACCACTGTCAAGCTTTTTGCTGTTGGGGAAACGTACCCTCTCTATTTGCACTAGTGACCCCCAGCTTTGTCACCAGGACCAAGCTGAGTAAAAAAAAAAAAAAATTCCTCACTTTCTGTTGTCTATTTCCATTGTTAATTTTTCTGTAAAAGCTAAGACTGTTTGTTTTTCATTTTCCAGATGCACTACTCTGGTAAACTCTTCAAAAAACCAGAAAAAAGGCTCTAAGGTAAGGCGGGAAGGAATGTGTATCTTAGGTGCCCCAATATGTACATAGATGTATAGTCTCTGCGTGGGCAATTGTGAACTTTTGAGGCAGATGGGTACCTTCTTTTATGAATGACTTCTGTGAAAAATCTAGGGGGTTATTCGCTAAGCTGCCGAAGTGAAGTGAGCCGAATCTCGTTCAGCAAATCACTTCAGCCGAGTACGGTTGATTTCAGCTGTACATCGGCCGGCTCCCATTGATTCAGCCGAACATGCTTGTCATGTTTGGCTAAGCCAAAGTGAAAAACACGGTCGTCTCAGCAGATCCAACATCTGGATCGGCTAAACCAAACGTCCGGCAGTGAGTGAATAGCTCGAATGCTGCCATGCGGCTCGGTTATTTTGTTCACTACCTCAGAGGTAGCGAATAGAATTAAAAAAAAACTGGGAGGTCCCTCTTCCCATTCATACCAGACCCTTTAGGTCTAGTAGAGGGGGACCCTCTAGTTTAAAAAAAAAGTGTGGGGTTAACCCCCAAAGTTATACCAGACCTTTAAGGTCTGGTAGAAATTTTAAGGTGGGAATACATGGAGTCCCCCCTAAAATTTCCAACCAGCCACTGTATCCGGGCACTTGTCTGGCAGGAAAAGAGGGAGATGAGCAAGCCTGCGCCATACCAGGCCAGATGCCCTGGGCACTGGAAGGGTGCTTTTCCAGGGGTCCCCCCTGGCAAAGCACCTTGTCCCCATACTGGTGGTGACTGGGGCCTCTTCCCCACAACCCTGACCTTCTGGTTGTGGGGGTCTGCGGGCAGGGGGGCTTATTTGCATCGGGGTACCCCTTTCCTAAAGGGGGCACCTAGATGCTGTCTCCCCCTTGTGAATTAGTATGGGGTACTTGTACCCCTACTTATTCCCTAAAAGGTTAAATTACAATGTAAATAGAGACCAGACTTTTAGAAAAAATCCTTTAATAAAAAAACAACAAACGTTTTTGACTATTCGTTTAATTAAAAAGAAACCCCAAAACAATGAAAAAAATTGATCCAACGAGATAATCCAGTGTCAATCCAGTCGTCCACGATGCCGCTGACTCGTCAAAATAAAAAAAGACCCGTCCGCACGCAACAAATACCCGCCCACAGAATGAACAACTTGACAGATTTCAATGAGTCGATGGCGGCGTGGACAATGTGACCCTGGATTACTTTGTTGGATCCCTTTTATTTATTTTTTTCATTGTTTTGGGTTTGTTCATTTTTTAGATTGACAAATAGTCAAAAACTTTTGTGTTTTTTTTTTTTTTTTTCTTCAATTAACCACCTTCACCGCTGGAGACGTACACTGTACCCACATTACTGCTCACGTACACTGTACGTGAGCAGCTCTTCAGGACTCCCGATTGCAGGTAACTGCTGAGATTAGCAGCTAACGTTCATTAATCGATGCCTCAGTATTGAGGCGTCGATTAACCTCTTGCCGTCCGCCCGTAGTAAAAAAACGGACGGACGGCACTGCTGCATTTGCAATTTTTTTCTGCTCGCGCGCGCCCCCTAGCGGGCATGCACGGGCAGAAAAGACCCGACCGTTGCACACACCCGTTACCGGGTGTTTCACATATAGGCGATCAGCGGGTCCATAGCCCGCCGATCGCCTATATGTGCTCGTTCGCGGCACCCACGCGCGGTCGGCGCTTCCGTGAATACTGAAAAATGGCCTGGATGGGAAGGGGGTTTAACACCGCGGATGTCAACTGGTTAATGAGAGAATTAAGCTTTTGTAAAACCTTTTGTGAATCGAAGGGCTCCGGCGGCCAAAGTGAGCCGAAGGATTAGCCGAACCTAAGGTTATATCCTTTTGCTCCTTTGTGAATAGTATACACATTGTTGAAATGTCATGTCAAACTGGTGTTTCATGGTTTGCAAGCAGACCTCTTATGCCTCCTCGTGGTTTAAGCATAAAAACACTAATGTGCCCCCTGCTATTTTGATGCGTTGAAGCACCAGAGGGTTTTCATTTTAGCGTAGCATTTAAATTATTTTGAGGCCTCGCCTAAGTCAACTCCAGCCAATACTGATACTTTTAGTGGGCGCCAGTGAGTTTAATCGCTCACCAGCTTCTTAATATCACTCTATCACTCACCTGTGACAAGATTCTAGTACTGTCTGCCCAAAAAGGTGTCGCCCTGGAAACTGAATGTGTACATGGTTTGTTTATGCTGCCTACTGAAAGTGTCCTCTGTGATGCTATTTGGCTGTGTAATGGCATCATAACTTGTGTTTGGATGTCAAGCCATTTTCTAATATCTGTAGCCAGTTTATATCAAAGATGGGCATTCCCATCATCTGTAGTATTTCTTTAGTTTATTGTGCACCGTAGACTAGCTTGCAGTTGACTGGACGAAAACGTTCTGTAGCATGCTCATCTAAAGAGTTGCAGTTTTTCATATAACTGAGGAAAGTATTGCAACCTCTTCCTTTTTTTTCTTATTAACCAGTTGACATCCGCGGTGTTTTCGCCTATATGTGAAACACCCGGTAACGGGTGTGTGCATTTAGCGGGTCTTTTCTGGCCGTGCGTGCCCGCTAGGGCACGGACGGCAACCCGCAGATGCTGCATGCTGCAGTGCCGTCCGTCCGTTTTTTTACTACGGGCGGACGGCAAGAGGTTAACATAATTCTGTTTTCTTTCTTCCATTGAGGGACTCATCCATTCTTAACCTTTAGAGTTATACTGCCACCTACAGTAGGATAGGGTACTGGCAAGCAAAAATATTGTAGGCCAGCCCAGTATAACCATTTCTACTCCCAGCATGCCACAGATGCGTTGGCTGTGCATGTCTTCTTGTTGCCATTTGTGAAGCCAATACATTTTTTTTTTTTTTGTACTCTTGAGACCATTTCCCGGTGCTATTTATTAATCTTATTCACATAGAAGTAATTATTTGAACTGACAATGAATTACACTGTTACAAAGTGCAGCATCATGTTTTTATCTTTTATTACAAAGGAGCACTTATTCTTCAACTTGGCAAAAGCATGGTATCTGACTCTTACTACATGTGTGTCTGTTTATATTTAGGTGAACGGGGATGATAATTTGCCAATAGTTGTGGAATCTGTTGTACATCGTCGAAACCACACAGCAAACGAGCGAAAACGAAGAAATGAGATGAGGGATCTGTTTGAGGAGCTGAAGAGAGCTCTCAGCCTTCACAACCTTCCAAAGGTTTCCAAGAGCTATATGCTTAAAAAGGTTTGTCTTGTCTTTGTTTAAAGTCACACTGTCTTGAGAGAAGTACATGGCCTCCATTTCTGGCCTTTTGAAAGTGATAAAGCTGAACTTCAATTCTTTGGGTCACAGACCTGGAAAAAGCCTGCTGTAAATAGTATCGGATGTCCTAATTGCAATACATGTTCCAGGTCACCGACTCAAACTGAAGAGATCAGTGATGGAAGCCTCCATTATTTTCGCAGGACAGTTTCTTTTTAGATTTACAGTTATTTAGCAGCATGATGAATGGACATTTTTGCTTATGTTTTGTCTTCTTCCAGGCTATAGAAGAAATTGAGGGGTTGACAGATGCAGCGGAGAGCCTCATAAAAAAAAAGGCCTTGATGTCTCAGAAACAGAGTCGGTTGATCAAGAAAGTGTCAAATCTCTCAGGTTGGTTACATAGTTACAAAGTATTTGAGGTTGAATGAAGACACAGGTCCATCAAGTTCAACCTTTGTGTGATTGTGTATGTGTGTACACAAGTTCCTGTGTAATCTTGTTTTTAAGAGTACCTGTACCCCTATATGTTACGGTCTCTGAGGAATAAGGTATCTAAATGCTTTTTGAATGATTCAATACTTTCTGCTGATACCACTTCTTGTGGCAGCGAGTTTCAGACTTTAAACACTCTAGCTGGAAGAATCCCCTACGCCCTTTGTGGTTAAATCTTTTCTCCACCAATTTTAGGTGGTGGCCTCTAGTTTTTGTTATGGAGTTTACTGTAAACTGTTTATTGCTGATATTTGCCATCACCACTAAACATTTTGTACATACAAATCATGTCCCCTCTTAATCGTCTCACTTCCAGCGTAGACAAATTTAAATTTAGTAACCTCGTCTCATAGCTTTGTCCTCCAGCCCCTTGTTTGAATCTACTGAATCTAAAGCCATATCTGAATAGATGGTCAGCACTGCATAATAAATTAAAACCCATTGATAACTGAGAGCAGATCTCACTATGCATTGCAAGGTTACCCCACATTACAACCTGAATTTTGTAGCCTGTTCATAAAATGAAGGCTGCATTGTCAAACCTATAGCATGTTACAGCTTTCTCTCCTTAACCCAACAGAAATCATTGATTTGGAGGAGAGGGTGGTCACATGACTTTGAAAGGTTGAGTGACTGTGCTCTCCTCCTGACTTTTTTTTTTTTTTTACTATAATAATTTTAAAAGCAATTCATTGTCTACAGAGTCGTGAAGGCACATGTGTGAAGCTCACAATCACTATAACACCTCTTTGTTTTCCATTTCCACAGGAAAACCAAAGGAAGTTGTGCTGAAGAAACTGGAATACTTATACGCAAAGCAGAATGCTTTAGAAGCAGAGAATAAGAAAGACTTGGAGGAGGATCAAGCTCTCAAAGCATCTGTGAACAAACCTCCTCCACCCTTGAAACTGGAGAATGAAGCTAATGAATCTTCAAGTAGCAAATCTACAAAGCCAATCATACTTTCAAGAACGCCTGTACTGCTTTCTGCGGAGAGTAAGTACAGATGAACTTTCCTTAATCGAAATATTCTCAGACGCAAATTTGACTTTAATGATTGCAGAGCGAATTACAGAGCCGTTTACCTTCTCAGCAGAGTTGGTTTTTGGTTGGTTGGTTGACATTTGGCATCTAAATTTTTTTTTTTTATAAATTCCGTTTTTATTAATAAAGATTTTCCAAAGAAAGCATACAAAGGAAAAAGGCAAATATAAGACCATGTCACACAAAACATCATAACAGCAAATGCTTACACAACAAGGTACATCAGTATAATTTACACAATAAAGCAAAAAAAAAAAATCTATACTGTAGAGAAAAGTATGCATAAAACGTAATTAGAACCCATCTACTGCATTTGGACAGGCATCGGAGAAACATTTCTAACAGTGCTAAGGTAAACATCTCCATGCAAATCGCAAACCGCAGTGTGAGACGGAACGAGTATAAAGATTAACAACTGATACACTACAAGAAAAGAGACTGGAAAATAAGAGAGGGGAAGGGAGAACAGGAGGGAGGTAATGTTCTCATCCGGATATCAGTCCTTCAGGATCTCATCAATTGCCATATTCGTTTTGGCATGTACTTTAATCCTAAAGGCCAAAAGCAGAATGTCCAGCAAACCGTTAAATATACAGTTCAAATGTATGTTTCTGTCTTACCTGCCTAAGGATTTGTCATTCGGTTTATCTTGTCTTGTTATTTACAGTCATTATTATACAGGGGTACAGGTAATATACAGGGGTACAGGTACTCCTAGAATGAGATCCTAATAGGTTGGACTTGATGGACTAATGTCTTTATTCAACCTCAAATACTATGTAACTATGTAGCTACAGCGAAGAACCAGACAAGTGACACTTATTTCCTGATTCAGCAGTGTAGTGTTCTGTGTCATCTCTCCTCATTTAGCCTTTTCAGTGCATAGTGAATTTAAATGTATCGCCTCTGTACAGTTAGAAGGCAGGAGATTCAGGAAGTAGTAGGGTGATCTTTCTGACTATGCAGTGTGCTAAAGGTGTCACAATCACAAGACTGGCTGAACCCAATTACAAGTTCTCAGCTCTCATGCTCCTTTTGTCCAGAGAGCTAACAATACCGGTGTTATACTCACCCAAACCATAATCCCGGCTGGCTTCTATACTGGCCTCTTCAGCCTTCTCCGCTGCAGCAGCCTAAGGTCCTGTGAGTCATCAGGAGAGGACGCTGATGGACATTCCATCGCTGGAAGGGAGCGGTCTAGGAGCCAACAGGGAAAAAAATTAACCCCTCCATGACTGAGGCCCTTTTTTCATTTTTTGCACCCATGTTATATTCCACATTTTAGGCCTGAAAATGACGTAAAACCCCCCAACATTATATATTTTCTGAATGCCAAGACCCTATAGAATAAAATGGTGGTAGTTGAAAATTTTTATGTTGCGCAATATTAGCGCAACTCCTTATTAAACCCCAAAATTTAGTGACAAATGTAATTAAATGCCCCAAAACACAACAAATTACCCATTTTTTTAATGAAATATAAAAGATGAGGTTACAACGAGTAAAACGATACCCAACATGCCCAGTTTACAAATTGCGTGCGACCGTGAAACGGCGAAAAACTGCAGTACCCCAAAAAGTCAATAAAAGACGCTTTAAAAGCCCCCACAGGTCATCAATTTAGAGATACCCCAAAATACTGGCCCTAGAATTATTGCTCTCACTCCGGCGTGCGCGGCGATACCCAACATGTGTAGCGCGTTCGTCGTTTTCATGCGTAGGCGCACCCGACGCGTGTTTACGTGGCGACGCGCGTGCTCGCGGGGGCGGGGTACTTTTAAAATTTTTTTTTTATTATTATTAGATTTATTTTATTTCATTTTAATTTTAAAAACTGTTTTTTTTTTTTTTTTTACTTTACTTTGACTGCTATCACATGGGGGGGCTTGCAAGCCCCCCCATGTAATAGCAGATGGTGGTGACAGGTCCTCTTTAAGGTGATGCTGGGGGTCCAAAAGACCCTCAGTGTCACCTTTACACTGGAAATAAGCTATTGAAGTGCAGATCGCACTTCAATAGCTTATAGCTGGGCTGCAGGAGCCCAGAACTGACAGCCCAGGGACCGGAAGTGATGCAATCTGCATCGCTCCCGGTCCCATAGAACGGGGAGGGGATCGATGAACGGAAGTTCGTCGACCTCCTCCCCAGCTCCCCGCGGACACCAAGGATGCCGGTCCTGGGCCCGTAGGAGGGGCAACGGAGCCCGGGAAGCGGGGTGTCCGGGGGGGGGCGGCCCCTTCTTCGGGACACAGAAGCGATCTGGTGACAGGTAAGTTCGCCAGGATCGCTTCTGTTGTAAAGCCGACAGTCGGCTCTACAAGTTTAAACAGAGTCCCGGCGGCAAAAGTCGCCGGGAGTCTGTTTAAACTGCCCCGATTCCGGCCGACGTACACTGTACGTCGTCAGTCACGAAGGGGTTAAAAGCCTGTCACTTTAAGGACAGAACCCCTCCAACCTCATACCTGCCAGTTTCGCTTGGTGTCCTCAGGAGAATGTCTTCTGGTTTTATTATTTTACTTTATTTTGTTTCCTTGTTGAAGATTCTACTATGAAGAGCTGCTAGTTGATTCATACCAGATATTATTATATCCTGGGAGTCTCTCTAGCTAGCCAATAAAACTCATTCATGCCAGATAAGTTAAACTCTGGAAGTTTCTCTAGTTGCCATTAGCATCAAGCCGACCAAACAACCAGTTAGCATTGAGCCGGCCAAACGGCATGGAGCCGGCTTACTCTGTATCGGCAAGTACCGAAATATACATATCGGTGCTCGATACAGAAAAAACTAAATCCCTGCTATTTTTGGATACTTAGATGACCTTTTACTTCAAAAACAGTCTCTTCCTACTTTGGAGCTCAATGTCTAGACGGTCTAGTGGAAATTAGAGGACTTTGGATGGATTCTGAACATCGAAAAGTCGTCCCTAGGTCTGTCATGTTGCTTTGAGTATTTGAGTCTTCTTTTGGATACCCTTCAAGCACAAGTTTTCCTTTCTCTGATCAAATTATTGAAGTTGTTGAATCAAGTTTGGTCGCTTCGATTCTATCGTTGTATCTCTCTGAAACATCTGCATGTGAATACTGGGGTTGATGGCGTTAACCTTCAAAGCGGTACATATTTGTTCCATTTCAGGACTTTACAGAGGAACATTCTTACAGCATAGGACAAGTCTCCCCTATTGCTGGACAGTATGAGTGACCCAGCCAGGATGTTTCTGTCATGTTGGTTGGTATCCCCTGCGTTAACAATGGCAAAGTCGTTTCTTATAACACATGGAAGACTGTCATGATGAATCCTGGTCTTGTGGGATGGGGCGGTCTCTTGGATTATCTGTGTAGTGTTAGAAAACTGTCAGATGTACTTTCTCAGCAGACAACGTCTACTTGGGGCAGATCAATGTTTACCTACATGTACCATAAAGGGTCAGATATTTGCCTCGTCTGCCTTTTTTCAGCCTCCTTTCTTCTATTCTTGATTCATACTTCTATTCTGGGAGTTCCATGTGTGGCTCCTCCTGTTTGCTCTTCTCTTACTACATGGGATTTGCACTTGGTTTTATCTGTTCTACAAAAACCTCCTTTTTTTAACCTTTCTTTATCTTTGGGGTTCTAAAAAGTTGATTTTCTTGTGTCCATTGCCTTGGCTAGAAGGGTTTCCGATTTGTCTGGAGAGGGAGCAGACCTCTGGCAGGAGTCGGTGTCACTGACAAACTTATAATGAAGTGATTCAGCGTGGAACGGAGTGCAGAAGGATTTTTCTTTTACTATATGCTTGTTAGGTTAGGGCGAGGTCACACTCTTGCTGGTGAGCACCCAGCTGTCTTTCCCTGCCAAAGCCGGGAAGGAGAGGTGCTCTATTCTTACGCCTTAGGATTTTGTTCTTACCGTAAAATCCTCTTCTCGGAGTCCATTGGGGGACACAGATCCCTCCCCTTATACTGCTTGCTGAAACTGTCAGGTGAGAGGGGTTATGTCCTTAACGTGGCAGGCTTTTCATTTTTTTTTTTTTTTTTTTATTTGGTGTCCATTTCCTCTGGAGGCAGCAGCATAACCCTACAGCTCAGAATTCTTTAGAGCTGTGTCCCTTAATGGACTCTGAGAAAAGGATTTCTCTGTAAGAATATCCTATTTTTAACTCCCTAGACAAAACGAGCACTTAACTCTTGCAGTGCTGGTGTAACCCCACTTAAGAGTTATTTTATTTGGCCGGAGTTGTTCTTTAAGGTTTCAGGTAGAGGAGTCCTTTGTAAGGGTACCTTTTTAAAAGTGACAGGGAGCTTTAGGGTAGTGTTGTCGGTGCCAAAAGTACAGCATTGAGAACACCGCATCTGAGCTGAGAACAAGGTGCTACTGGCTTCTGTGAATCTGGTTTGAATTTATTACAGGTATTTATATAGCATTGACCATTTAACTTTATGTATCGTACATTCACATCAGTCCCTGCCCTCAAGGAGCTTACCATCTAAGGGCCCTATCTCGCATACATACATACAGGGCCAATTTAGACAGGAGCCGATTATCCTGCCAGTATGTCTTTGGAGTGTTGGAGAAAAGTACCAAGCAAGAACAGGGAGAACATGCAAACTCCTTGCCCGAAGCACTAACCATGGCTTCCCAGAAATACTCTGTCCTGAAAACCATACTGTACTTGGATTGTACAGCTTGTACCATGTATAACAGGGAGGAGAGTTAGGCTTTAATTTGATGGTTGCTTATCTAAAGCTACAAGTTTATTTAGCACTACCCTGTCCACACGATGACCGTTCGCTATGCAATTTGACTGCAGAACATTGAGAGGTGTACAGGTAATTAAACTGTTACTGTGAGGGGGACTCACAAAAACAAAAATTGCTGTGTTATGGTTAGTGACAGCCGGCATCATATAGTTTGATTTTGATTTTGCTCATAGTTACACTTTTAAGATTTTTTTTTTTTTATGTTTTGCCTCATTGGGTAAGACATTATTTTACACTACAAGCACCCAATAATATATATATATTTGTTTTGTAGTCCTAAAGCTCGCTTTTAATGGATATGGTTCTGTTTTACAGCCCAGGAGCCAGTTGTCGTAACTTCACCCAATTTTCTAATGGCATCTCCAGGACTGGCAGCAGTGAAGGAAGTCAAGGTAGAAGAGGGTTCTGGAATTTCACCAACACATGTGCAGGCTGATGTGAGGCCGGCACAGATGCCAACAGGTGAGTTCAGTGTACAACTGTGCAGTTTGGAGTGGCTGTCCTAAATATGACATAATACGTTGGGAACCCAGAAATGCGTTTAGTCACGTTTAACTAAACCAGATGTATGAGGTGGACCTAATGTAGAAAATGTACCCAGTATATTATGGGGGAATTTATCAAAACTGGAGCAGCTGTGCATGGCAACCAATCGGCTTCCAAAAACCGACTTCCGAAAACCTTTCATTTTCAAAGCTTAACTCAACAAACTGAAGTGAGAAGCTGATTGGTTGCCTATGGCAACTGCTCCTGATTTTGTCTGCTCCAGTTTTGATAATTCTCCATGCGTCTTAAACTGTCCCATTATAATAAAAAGCTTTGCGCCCTTCATTTTTTGGAGGTGAGGTTTTGCATTCAGATGATTGTAAAATTTGTTTAAATTAATGGCCATCTCGGCCTAGTTTCCACGGGGTGCTGCAGGGTCACAAGAATTGGTTTGAAGACTAACATAGGAACTTGTGTGTCTGCACTTCAGTACTGACAGTCACCGCTCCCCCCCATCCTTTGAAGAAGCAAGGTGGGGTACACGCTGGCCTTCGTTCTGACAGTGAAATTTTTTTTTGCGTTGGGTAGTGGTATAATGTTTGAGGGCTGTTTGAATCCTTTTTGCCTCCCTTCTATTTGCATGGGAACATGGTAGGGATAGTTTTCATAGCTCTAAAGGAGATTGAATACAAATTGCATACTTAGATTGCAAGGTGGGTGGTTTAGGCTGGGTTTACACCTAGGCGTATTGAATATGCGCGTGCGTCGCGCGTTTTTACCGTGATTCGCGGTTAAAAAACCGCGTGACAAACGCGCGTTTCCGAGGGCTACTTGGCTGTATCCCAATGGAAACACGAGACCAAAACGCCCCAAAGAAGTACATGTACTTCTTTGGGCGTAGGCCGTTTTGTAGCCCGTTCAGACGGACTGAAATACGGAAAGGTGTGAACCATACCCATAGAAAACAATGGGATTTTCAAGTTTGTACGTTTTGTAGAGTGTTGAACGCGCGACAAAACGTAAAGGTGTGAACAAGGCCTTAGTGTCGTTAAATACAGAAATTCATAGATTTCAGCAGAGGTGTCTTGATAGATTTTATGATTCTTCCTGACTTAATTACATTAGCTTTCCATACATATTTTTCTCTAGTGGATATTTACAAATCTAATTTGGATATGTTTGTGTAGGAATGGCTTATGTCGTGATTCAGCCTCTCTATTTTTCTCAGTACAAGTTTTCTAAAAATATATGGTTTTAAATGGTTCTTAAATGTATGCCTGGGAATCTGTCACTGAGCTGAAAACAGTGGTCTGCAAATCCTTTGGGAGCTTCCATGATTTTCTCCAAGCTGTCAACTATTAGAGGGCAATGAAGCAGTCGTTCAGTATGCAAGCCCCGACTGTCAAGGAATTGGTTGCCTTGAGAGTTTTACTTCATGAGAAGCAAAACAAATGGCAAACGCACTCATCAATTCGTTACCAGGTTTACAGCAAGGTGCACACGGAAGGGCTTGCTGTTTTACTTTAGGAGAAGTCCAGTCATATGTCCATGTTGTATTTATCAGGACAGAAACATATAGGAGCTACCATTGCTGTCATCCTTTGCCATGTGGTGAGTTGCAGACCTGGGCTCGGTGTACATACTTGTTCTAGATCAGTGACTCGCTACATATTGTGGCAAGGATAAGGATGCCCCAGAACTTGACAATGAGAAAACTAAATCGGCAGCATCGGCTTCCTTTTTTCTGACGTGACAGATTCCCTTTAGCATAGACTTAATTTCCAAAAACTGCTGGGTATGAAAGCTATGTCTCAGTGAAGTACAAAGGAACAGATTGTTTCCACAGTGGGCTGTGCAAGGACCCAGTGGGGAGAGAAAAGGGGGCTTTTTAGAAACCAGTCCAGACCTCGTATATAAAAGTCTTAGAAAAACATTTATTCACTAAATTGTTGTATACATAGTTTAGAACCAAGAAATAAAGTACAAAATCATGTCATCAATAAAAATATATATCATTAATAAAAATACATATTGAATATGCAGGTTCACCGTTAGGTGACAGTACCGCGCGGTTACGAGATATGCGGTAACTTGTTTTCAGATGATGTAAACGCTCTACGGTACTGTCACCTAACGGTGAACCTGCATATTCAATATGTATTTTTATTAATGATATATATTTTTATTGATGCCATGATTTTGTACTTTATTTCTTGGTTCTAAACTATGCATACAACAATTTAGTGAATAAATGTTTTTCTAAGACTTTTATATACGAGGTCTGGACTGGTTTCTAAAAAGCCCCCTATTCTCTCCCCACTGGGTCCTTGCACAGCCCACTGCGGAAACAATCTGTTCCTTTGTATCCATAACCTGTGGTGTGAAACCTCCAGCTCCTCTAGATGCTATTTGCAACACACGCCTGCCAATATTATCCCCTAATGTCTCAGTGAAGTGGTGCCTGGAGCTTAAGTGTTTTCTGACAAGATGTCTGATCAGAGAACTGCCACCACGTTGCTCCGCAGCCTCAGGTACTTTATTTTATGCAATTGTAAAAAATGACTCATCTGGCACTACAATGTGTAAAGAGGATAACTTTGTGTACGTGTTTGCCATTAATTATGTAGAGCGTTACACCCTAAGGGATCCAACACTGCAGCAGTCTGCTAAACTTTACTTTTGGTTGAGCCACTTCCCTGTTGAACGTCAAACACTCCATAACATTTTATAAAAAGACAAACAAGTGCACAGTTGCACAGATGTATGTTACACCATTATGTGAAAGAATATATTGTTTCATATTCAGCTGATTCGGCTATCTGTATTTTTAATGTACCTTTTCTTTTTTCAATACAAAAAGATGACCTGTCCATGATGCCTAAGATTGTCAGCGTCACATCCTTAGCCGAGGAAGCTTCTTCAGATCTGGGCCAGGAATTTGTCCATACTCCAACGATTAAGGAAGAAACAGATACTGAGGTTCACAATCTTCTAGCAAACACTGCTGTTTGTGATCAGGCAGAACATTTGCCATCTACATCCCATGTGCTTGACACCACAGAAGAACATTGTAGCAGTATGAATATAACCCAAAGTTCTGTCTCCAGTCTTCCAGAGAATCTCCCCCTGGCCAGCGTCAGCTTTGTTAATGCTAAGGCATCCTCAAAAAGTGGAAAGGGTACTATGAATGATTTATCTTTGGATAATGTTGCAGAGGATGTCAGAGACTCTGAACTCGAGCTGGAACTCAGGAAGCTTTCGTCCGCTATAGATGAAGCAGAGTTGGAGCCAAGCGAGTTATCAGATGTCATGGAGGATCATGAAGACTCGGATGAAACTCTCACGTCTCTTTTGAATGAGATTGCTTTATTGAATCAACAGTTAAACAATGACAACAGTGACTTGGGCTGCAACTTCCCAGGAACAGACACACCATCCCAGGGAAGTGTTGACAAATCTGCAGGTGGTGATGCTTCCCCTTTCTTTTTTGGAAGATTCAAGGAATTGCCTGAACCGAAAGAAAATAATGTTTCACTCAGTCCTCTCTTTCTACAATTAGATGAGGCAGAGATACAGGGAAGTGTTAAGCATATTGAAGAGCCAGGTATTGCATTTGAGGATGTAGACGGTAAAGCAGCATTGACTAAAGTGGAGGATGATCTTCTGCAGCCTCCTGCTAATGTGGCTTTTCTTCAGGCTATTGATAAACCAGGAGTGGCCTCTAGCCCTAATATGTTTTGGAGGCCTATGCCCAAATTGGCACCTCTTGGACTAAAATCATCTAATGTTCCGAGCGATCAAAGGGTATCGGGGAACAAATCTATGCCATCTTTGGCTTCAGCTGCAATCCGCTTAAGTTCACCAAATCATATGGATCATCATTAGGTCTGCTTTTGGTCATTTATGATTTAGAAAAAATGTTCAGGTTACTTGAAGCGTACAATTAAGCCGTTGTACATCATAAGTGGATTCTTCAACGATGAATCATTTTGAAATCTAACCAGTCGAAATCACATTTCCATTACACACAAAACCTTAACTATCTGGGGTAAAAGGAGCAGCATCTTCATTTCTACTTCCTTGCTTTGCAACCTATTTCTTGCTACGAAATGACTGGTGCACTTTAATGTATAATTGTGATTTGTATATATGCTTTAGCTAAGCGGCAAATTCATATATTCTCCAGCAGACGGACAATGTAAAGCATTCCATATGAGGTTTGTCTCCTGGAACAATTTACACTAAGTAAACCATAGGTGCCTCCATCTCTAGTCTCTACAGCTCAGTCACCTTTCTGTCTGCACTTTACAAGACAAATTGCTACAGTTTACGTTTTGTCAGGAACAGTGTTAAGTGTCGGACACTCTCCTACCCCAGTTACTTGACAATAAGTTAATTGCTGCTTGAATGACGAGCAATCATTGCGGTTATCAAACCGAACATGTAAAAAATGTATTATGTATTTATATTTTTTAAAATCTTTTGTACACAGAATTTTTTTGTACAGGTGTAGAATGTGATACATTTGTTAACTCTGATTTACTGTATTTCTTACTGTAGATACTAAGTGTACGACTTATGGTCCGCTCATGTGTCATTGAGCAATATTTTCATGATAAGATTTTTGTGAAGTCCCTGTTTTAAGGGGCCCTTGTATGAGTTGGTAAACATTTGAAAAATATGCTTTTTTTTTTTTCGCTCTTCACTTTATTCAGTCTTGAGGTCTTTTTTTGAGTCAAAGGGGGCAGTCCACCCCCAAACTATTAGTTTAATTTTGGTTAGATGCTGCTGGAATGACCTGCCAGCTTCTTATATGTCTCGGGATCTCCAGCAGTGAGAACCTTGCACAAGCTGTAACCTTCATTGGTGATACCCGGCACCATGGGGCGTAAATTAAGACAGAGTAGTTCAGCCTTTTTAGAGTCTGCCTGTTGCTGAAATATCCATTTAAAGCTGATGTCAGACAGGCAAATGTGCTGCTAGAGACAAGTTTCCAATGACAGGATTGCTAAAGAGGCTGCCTCCTGTCTATTCCTACAGAATCTGTCCCTCTGTAGCCAGAGGAAGCAAGATGTTGCTTTGTTGCTGCCCTGAAAGCTACTAGTGAGTCTCTATCACTAGTGATGGGATCAACACCTTGCTGCCTCGGCTACAGACAGAGCGATTCCCTAGTGGAAAAAAGGCAGCCTTTTATTCTGCTGCTGGCAGTTTCAACAAATTGCCAGTGGCTGGAAGGGGGTCTAAACACCTGGTCTTGAAGTGGTTAAAGCCCAACTGAAGTTTTAGTTTAAATTTGCTAATTACAATCCAGGTACATCAAAATAACAGATGTGCAAAGTCTAATTTTTGTTTTCTTTAGCAGTCAGCCAGAGAAGAAAAGCCTGTCTCCTGCAAGCATGCTGCAGAGAAGGACCCGTTCTCTCTGGAAAGGTTCCATGCTAAGTGAGACTTATAGTTGTGCAATCTGCAAAAGCCCCCTGCTTATTGGAGAGCTGGAAATTCAGCAGGGGTGTGTTGGAACTTTGCAGAGGGCCCACTTCTTCCACACAGAGGCAAGGGTCTTTCTCTGTTCTGTGCCTGAAGGAGACTGTGTGTTTTCTACTCTTTTCTGAGGAAAACCACCTGTGAGACTTTGTACACCATTTGATTTGATGCACCTGGAATTTATTTAGATTATTTAAAACGAAGTTCAGTTGAGTTTAAGTGGACTAGCCCTTTACTCTGTCCTTATATAAACTGGTACTAATATTGGCAACTTGTTTAGGATGGGATGGGGCAAGTTTCTGTGATGTCATTTTGATGTTTCAGCTTCACTGCCCAGTAATATCTGGAACACACAGAGTTTGGTCATTCTGGCTTCACTTGCTATATTCTCGTTTAGTGAGGCAGAAAATTGTGAAACTGGAGGTTTGAGATGATAACCTGAGAACTTTCGCCATCTAAAATGAGTTGACAAAGGAAGCACCCATAAATCTATTACAGGGTCACCATATATTTAATTATTGCATTATCCCAGGGTTTATCATTTTTAAGTAACAATTTAATCTAGTAAGATGTCACTCTGATTTACGGATTGGCTGCCCACCAATGAAATGTATTGTCGCAGCATGGAGAGAATGACCCTGTCTAACCTCCTTTGGCAAAGCAATATTTGTGGACTTTTCATTCTGTGATCATGGAACTAGACCCAGGCCATATCTGTCTGTCCTCAAAAACTACAAATTGGAAATACATTTAGTATTACAATGTTATACTTTAAAGAAGTTAGGAAGTAATCCTTTACTATCCAGAACTGGTAATTTGTTTTGTCTAGATGCAAAGCTGTTTGGTGCTAAATAAAACCTTGACAAGCCTATTGTCATAAAATGTATGTGTGTATATAACTTTTTTGGATAAAACTGAAAAAAGCAGCTTACACATTTTGTGAGCACATTGTTATTTTTGTATTGCAGAGCATGTAGAAATCCATTCTGGAAAAGGATATTATGTCCCCTTCATATTGATCTTTAAGCAGGCCTAAGTTGTAGTACTGGTAACTGGTGGCCAAGGACTAAAGCAATTGCTTGAAAACGCTAGTTAGAGTTTAGTCTTCTGGTTAAACCAAGGTTTATTGAACCAGATCAAAAATACAGTGACATAATAAGGTAAGTAGACCAATATGACCAAGTTTTGAGGCATAAATACTCCAAAATCAATCTCTACCAATGCATCCCTCTATGTATGATGATTAAAAATAACATAGACATATCAGGTGTAAAATGGTGTGATTTTGAAATACTTACACTTGTAGAGCATTCACTTCCTGCTTTGAAAGATGCAAATAACTTCAGTTTGCAAGAGCAATGCATCCTGGGATTGTCTCATTAGTAGAGCATTGCTGGGAAATCTCATCTGTAATCGCTCGAGATCTCAGGGAAAGGCATTTTCCTGCCCTCAGATGATGATGTGCATGGTCACATGTCTAGTCACATGTGCCAGACATTTAGGAAGTGAAAGGAGATCGAGTAATCTGCCCTTAGTAAACATGACCACTGTCAGAAAACTGGGAAAGAAAAGAGAAATAAGGTATGCAAAGAATACAAAGTGTGTGTTTGTAGATTGTCATTATTAAACGTTTCTAAAGGTGTGTTTATTGTTATTTTATAGATATGGGTAAAGGTCCGCTTTAATGGAAGATCTAAAAATTATGCAGAGTGTCATAAATCACACGAAATATATAAACTGATGTCAGGTAAAGCAAAAGCATTACTGCAAGACCCCTATACTAGTAGCAGGTAACTAAAAATAACACTCAAATGTATATACAGTAATACCTTGGTTTACAAGTAACTTGGTTTGAGAGCGTTTTGCAAGACAAGCAAACATTTCTGAAAAATGTTGCCTTGATATACAAGCAATGTCTTGCAATAAGAGCAAAATTTTGTAGAAAAGTGCCACACGAATAAGGCTGTAGCAGTGCGAGCGATGAGACTGTTTAACGACAACACAATGTCACATTGGATATATTCCTTGTTAAGGTTTCACGAAATGAAAAAGATTCCATTGAGTCAAGAGATATCAGTGATTCCGTTAGTGATAGTGAAAGTCGTCCTACACAATAATCCTCCTCTCTCTTGTCCCCCTCACACCAGCCACGAAGGTATCGGTAATTGGTTTATTTTTCTTTATACAGTATTATATTACAGTACAGTATTGTAATCATTTTTATATGAATATTTTTGGGTTGTGGAACGAATCATCTGAATTTCCATTATTTCCTATGGGGAAATTCGCTTTGATATACAAGCGCTTTGGATTACAAGCATGCTTCCGGAACGAATTATGCTCTTAAACCAAGGTATTACTGTAGTGTAAGTTCTGATGATAGTAAATACACGAACAAGGGAAATGCTGCTTGAAGAAGGAAAGGAGAGATAGAGGTGAAAGAACAGAGTGAGATAAAAATTAGGGAAAGGAATGGAGATGGAGATGACGATAAATCTGACCACAAATGAATGGACTCGAGAAGAGAATCACAAGGGAATATTAAGAGGCCAGTTAAGAATAGACTTCGGGAGTTGCATCAGATGCCAAAACAACCAGGTGCTGGGATATGGAGGCAGAGGAAGAATACTACATCCACTATGCCCAAATAGAATAGAAATGATCATAAGATCCCATGTCCATGGCCACAAGTTCTTCCATACGCATGTTAAACAATTTTTTTGATTTTGTTATGTGTAAAGCTCAAACCCCTCCATGTGATACAGGAGGGGGTCACCGCAGTCTTCCAATAAAGCGGAATGAGTCCTGCCGCAGAAAGAAGAAATCTGAGCATGTGTTTCCATTGGTGAGATCTATTTCCAGGAAGAATGGACATGTTGTTTCATGTGTCTGTCTCTCCCATTCAGCTATCTGGTTTAATTGGTCAGCGGAACCCCGGAGCAAAAATGAATTTTTGCGTTTTTACCCTACATGAGAAGTCGTCTTTTTGGATTAGATAATTACTTAAAGGAGAACTATGAGGTGAGTGATTTTCACTTATCCTCCTGTATCTAGATACTGAGTTTCAAAGTAGAAAGAAACTGTGTTTGAAGTAAAATGTTGTCTAAGTGCCTGATAATTGGAATGCCTTTGCAATGAATAAATCCCAGAACAAGAACTTTTGTAAAAAAAAACCTTAAACCCGAAAGGGAGAGTCACAAATTAAAAACTAGGGTTGTATACCGCAAAATTAAGGAAACTGATGAGCTGGAAATACAAAAATGTGTAGAAACACATCTTTTATATCTATGAAAACCATAGATGGGCAACACCAGTGGTGTTTTAACAACTTTGTCACAGCTGGGGAACTCCAGATGTGGGTCTTCCGGCTTGTCACAACAAAAAGGACAGATTTGTGTCCAGAGTAA